TCATCAACGACCTGAGCTCCTGCAAGAACGTGGCCCACGACCTGCARCAGGAGGTCTCTCACTTCGACGAGCGGGTGGCGCGGGTGGAGAGCGCCTGCGGCAGGCTGGGCACCATCACGGGCAGCCTGGACTACATCAGGAAGGAACTGGAGAAACACACGGGCAGTCTGTGGGACTACATGGACCACATGAACGGGACACTGGCTGCCCACTCTCAGGAAATAACAGGACTGAAGGACAATCTGCTCGACTGCCAGGCCAAGGTTTCTGAGCTGGCAGAACAGGTCGGGCACTTGGAAGAGAAGGCAGAGAGGAGGCAGCATTAGCCATGCTGTCGTGCCCTGTGTCTTCCTTCTCTGGYTGTGAAGGACAGCATTAACTTATATCACACAGACTCGCTCCAATGTGACAACAGTTCTTGGGATAWTTTTTTTTTATGAAAAGCTGCTACATTTTTTTTTTCTTTAATCTTGTTGGCCCCACTTCTCCTTAACCCTGCCATGCTGGTATTCCCCTCCTGATGTCCAGCAGCTGCCCTGACTCTGGTGCAGCAGTGTTGCTGCTTTCTGGCTGGGGTTGTTGCTTTGGCTCCTGGGCTGATGACCCCAGAAGCACACTTCAGGAGTAAGCTGGAGGTGGGAACATTTTTTTTAAATCTTTTTTTTTGTGGATTTATCATATCTTCTGCCCCTGTCATTATCAGCTGAGGAATAGTTTCTCTGACCTAAAGACCACCTGCATCTTAATCCAGGGACTGAGCAGAGCCAGGGCTCCTTGTAGGGAACAAAATTCACCGCAGGAATTGCAGATTTTAGAGAACACACGTATTCACACGTACCTTCAGGAACTGGCTTYGTTTCTCCGAGATGGCAGCCCTCCTTGTGTATGGTAAATCCATTTGTAATGCTCCCTCCTCCATGCAKATGCACATGCTTTATGGAGCATATGAGGGTGTGCATTAGGAAAACACACATATGCATATGGTATGTGTATGTATACTTTTGAACAATCCTGTGTTGCTGTGCTCATCTGATTTGTTTCCTAATGCTGTCCCCATGTCCTTTGCCATTCCAAAGAGCCACACTGAGTAGCTAAAACCTGTGGTAGCAGTGTCTGGGGAGAGCCCCTCTGTTGCTGGGGCTGCTGTGGTTTACAATCCCACTTTGCTGAGGTCCCTGACTGATGTGATGRGTTATGGAAAATGTGTCTTCCCCAAGATGTGTGCCCTGCAGAGACCAAGCTGGGCACAGAGCAGTCCTGTCCTCCAGCTCTGCCTCTCTCCTGTCTTATTGCTTGAACTGTGAACGTGGTTTGCCTCATCTCATCCCAGGGCAGGACAGCTCCAGCTGCTCCAGGGTGTGAGTGCAGCAGTGAGGGAGAAGGAACCTCCTTCCTCCTCATGTTCTTCTGATCCCACTGCAACAAACACCRATGTGGAACAAAGCAGGACACCTGTGAGAAGACCTCTGGAGACTTCTCCTCAGCTCAGAATGATTTACCCAGCTTGACTCTGGTTTCCCATGAAGAGGCAGGCTGGAAAAGGTTGTCCACATTCCTGTCAGCTGCAGCCTTGCCCTACAGAGCTGTTGCACACAAAATCCACCTCTCCCTAGGAGCCCACTGTGGGCACCTTCCACTGATGAGCCAATGGGGACTTCATTACTAGGATGAGGAGGAAATTAAAGAGCCTCCATCCAAGCAATTGTGGCACTTTATAGCAGAGGAACRTATTTTTCTATCAGCTCAGCTCATGAACCTCATCACCAGCCTTTGGCTCCTACACAGTTCCCTGCTCTTCTGCACCACGATTCTCTTGCTGAATCCCTCCAACTGCATTAAGGAGCAGCTCTGTGCTCTGACCAGCACAAACCAGCAGCAGCTTCCTGCAGAGATGCATCTGGGCACCTTTCCTCCCCCAGAAAAACTGGGTGAGCTCCTTGAAACATGGTTCCAGGCTGGGAAGGGCCACAGAGGTCACTGAGTCCAGCTGCCCACATCATGTTCCCCCCGATGCAGTAAGAGGAGCATGAGCCATCAGCTGTGGGAACATGGAGAGGACACCTGGCCCTCAACAACTTGCCCAGCCCTGCCAGATGCCCACAGCAGCAGAATCCACTCTCATTGCTCTGCGTTTTGCTGATTTGGAGCTACCCTCTGGCTACAGAGACACTTCTCCAGCTGGGGAATGACCTCCAGCTGCTATTGGCCATCCTGCAAAACTTGTTTATAGGGAACAAAACCTGTTTTTTTCCTCCAGTCCAAGAAAGGAGTCTCAAACCAACCCTCCGTATTTTGTGATGTGCCAGGGGAGCCCTCATCCCACAGGAGGAACATCCTCCCTAAGCTCCTTTTCCATCCCCTCACACCAGGGAGAAAACCAAAGAGAAAACCAAGCCAAGGGCCAGGCTCCCTGCTCCCAGCCAGGGGTGGGTTAGAGTGGCTGAACAGAAACAGCTTCCCCAGAAAAGAGGGAGCCAGGACTGGCTATAACAAAACCAGGACAAGGAAGAAGTCTGACCTTCCGGAAAATGGTGCTACATTTGGACTATTCCTGACTAGTCACTTGAAGCAATGGACAGTTTGTTATTTCAGTTCTCAGCTATTCATGTTTAAAAAGTGAAAGAAACTTTGTACAAAACTGGGCATTTTTTTTTTTAAATTGCTTGCAGAGTAAGGAAATGGTGCCCAGAGGATTGTCCTTACATGGGCAGCTTTCTTTCTGAGGCAGTTGATAACTGATCCTGTTAAAAGACTGTGTTCTATTGTTTTTTAAACCTTGTCTATTTGTTCAGATTTTAAAAGCTGAAAAAGTGTTTGTACTGGAAAGGAAAAAAATAAAGTATTTCTTGCTGAGGTTTCCCAGATCTAAATGATTCATGTGGCTTCCTGAATAGCAGAGTAGAAGATGACTTACACATACACACAGGTCAGGGAAAGAAAAGGCAGATGCCCGACTGAAGGAGCCCAGCAGTGCTTCTGCCTGTTTTGTTTTACTTTATAACCTCCCATGAAGACAGGCTTGGGGAGGCTCAGCCTGGAGAAGAGAAGGCCATGGGAAGGCGTCACTGCGGCCACGCAGAATTTGGAGGGACCCAGAAGAAAGATGTGGGGAGAGAAGGGGGGGGGGGGTGGCTTTCGACTGCAGGAGGTCAATTTAGGTTGTATCTAAGTAAACTGGTGTTTTACACTGAGGGTGGTGAGGCAAAGGCTCAGGCTGTGGATGCCCCATCCCTGGGGGCATCCACAGGTCCAAGGTCAAGTGGGACAGGACTCTGAGCAGTCTGCTCTGCTGAGAGCTTGCTCAGGTTTGAATGAGATGATCTTCAGGTACCATTTGAAGCCAAACTAGGGATGRTCCCCATTGCCCACAGCGATTTGTATTTGGTTCGTACTGGTGACTGGAGGAAAAGGTTTTCAGCTGTAACCACTACAGGTTACAGGAACTTCCTCTTATCATTAAAGGCTCCCAGTTTCATGTGGTGTAGCCATGTAGCTCGCGCATGTCAGTCCCCTCTATTCTTCTTCTTTCACACCTCRCCACCAGATGTGTGGCACTGCTGTCAGTCCTGAATGCTCCTCACTGTCTGGATTGTGCCATCCATCCCTGCAGGACRCTCACTTTTGTCCTAATGAAGGTACAGTGTCATTCCATGGGAAGGGTCACCCCTGACAGCCCAGGCGGGCTGGAGCTCTGTGAGGATRGGTGGGGCAGGGACTCCACTCTGAGGTTTTGCTCTGTGTTCAGACTGTCACAGACAGAGAGGAAGAAATGGAGCTGGATGTGAAGATTGATATAGAGGAGAGTATGGATATAGACGTAGAAGAGAATGGAGAGGAGGAGATGGAGGTGGATGTGGAGGAGATGGAGGAAGAGATGGAGGTGGACCTGGAGGAGGAGATGGAAGAAGAGATGGAGGTGGACATGGAAGATCATGTTGAGGACATGGAAGTGGATGAGAAAGGTGAGGATGGATGGTCTTGGGATGAAGACCAACCCCAGCAGCAGGACAGGCAGGTGCTCACCCTGCCATGCCCACAGGCAGAGTGGGTCCCCTGCTGCCAGGACACAGTGCCCTGAGGGGGACCTGGATTCTGGGGACACAAGCACCACCCCTGTCCTGTCCTGTGCTTGCTTTGGGCCATGCTTTGGGTCCCACCACCTGGGGCCCAGCCCACAGCCCCAGCTGGGCTCAGTCCTGGCAGCAGAGTCCTGCTCTGCCTGTGTGTCCTAGGCTGGAAGCACAGGRRACACCCYTCTGTGCCTACATTGGAGTGATSTTGTCATTTGCTTTTCTTCCAGGACTGATGGAGATGCCAGRCAGAGATGTCATCCTTCTGTACATACATTTTAGAGTTTGTTAAGTTTTTATCTGTAAATACATTTTAGAGAAAAATGGCTGTTCATATATTTTTTAGACTATGAAAACATTTCATGTATTATTATATAGGTTCTTATAATGTAAATACATTTTATAGATTGTTGTTGYTATAAAGATTCTTACATTGTAAATACATTCTGCAGTTCATTTTTGTTGCTTCAGCAGAATAAGCCCAATCCCATTTTAACAGGACTTRGAGCCTGGCTCCCACTTCTATGCACAGGGCTAGAGCAGACAAGAGGCAGTCTGGATTAAGGCACTATTTATTGCTTTTAGTCCAGAACACTCAAAACCCCAACATCTTCCATCGACCTTTACAAATTGGTGGGCAGTTTCARCTAACAAACTGCAGGTAGCTGGACTGTCTGAAACACTGGTCACACCAGAGGCAGAAATAGCTGTGCCAGAGGCTCATCAATAAATACAACTGTGAACAATCACCACTTTTAAAAAAGAGCCAGGCTTTAGAGGAGCTACAAACACAAGAAGAGACMCAGCTTTCAGGAATTTTTGTTTAGCAACTGGAGTTTTTGTAGAGTCAGAGCTCTCTCTGACCCCGTTTGGCTACCTGCTAAGGGGTGTCATGACAGCGCAAAATGCCTGAGCAATAGGGAGGATGAGGTGCATTTGGAGCATTTAGTCCTGGCAAAGAACAGGGAGRAGAGCCCTGGGTCAGGTCTCCACAGGGTTGGGGTTAGGGCAAGCCATATGAGTCAACATCAGGTGGTGGAGGGCTTCAGTAGGAGAAGTGGCTGTACTCTGAGAGGGGCACCAGACCAGTGCTCCTCCTCTGTCCCACAGGAGGGAAGACGACCTCCACCAGCTCTGACAGCCGCTCGAATCTGTGGGAGTAAGAACAAGTTACACTGGAGTCATTGCGTGTTTGTTTGCTTTTCTACCCCATGAGATGCTTCTCTGCATCAAAGCTAGGTTATCCCAAAGATGCCAAGGAATAAACACTTTGCTTACGTTGACTTGTAGTTCTTTGCGAGCTCCTGGATCAGCTCTCCCTTGGGGTTTACCGTGAATATGCGGCTGTCCGGCAGCCCCACTTGCTTGTAAGCATAGACATCCTGCCCAAGGAAGGCCAGCACAGCATGAGAGCTGCAGGAAGGARCCACCACCCAGCCAGAGCCCTCCCTCCACCCCTGGGAACCCACTCACATTGGGCCTGTTCCCAAAGCCTGCATAGAAGGGAGATGTTGTGGCAAACAGGCTTCGGATGTCTGTCAAGCAGGTGACCTTGAACACCTCTGGCTTCTTCTCAATCACCTCCCTGCAACACAAGAGACACGGTCACACTGGGCACCAAACCTGTCTGGGGCTCAGGGAAATGATTTGAAGGTAAGGGGGTCTGTACATCAGAAGCTTCACCATGAAGCAAGGTCAGGCAGCTCCCCTGCTGCCTCCCATGAAAGGCACCGTGCACCAAGGAGGGCAGAGCAGTTTTAAGGCTGGGACATCCCTCAGGGTCAACCTGAGGAACGGGGTGCTGTCCCCAGGGATATAGGAAGTGAAGGAAAGGACAGTACCTGTGGAAAGCAGACAAGAGGCTACTGGGGGAAAGCAGCATGGGGCCCATGGGGAGGCCACAGCCTTGCTGATTGACCCATTTGAGGAAGCCTTTGGTGATGTGGGCCATACCAATAGCCCTGGCCGAGCAGTAGAGGAACTTGTAGCCRTTCCTAGAGAGAACACAGGGAGCACGTCTGAGTTGTGACCTGGGCAAGGCGTTTTCCTGCTCCGAAGAGGAAGAGGTAGCCACGTGCCTGGCCGAAGCCCAAACCTGTTCACTACCACAGTAAGTAAGGTGGTTCCACAAACAACATGAACCACTAAGCTGGAAATCCAGACTAAACCCAATCCCCACCTGCCTCTGACTGGGAGCCCCTGCACCGCCTTCCACACTCGCCCCAGCAGCCGCACACCCACCCAGCTCAGCTGCACAGCACTCGTCGCAGCTCAACACCCTCACACAGCACTTTCACCCCACAGCACTGCCTGTCGGTCGTGGAGAGCTGTACCCAGCCTGTGCAGACGCCCAGCAAAGGGGGCAGCGGGGTGGCGGAACGAGCCATCCACGGGCCCACAGCGCCTCTCAATGGCCACAGGGGACAGCGACCGGGCTGGAGACTGCGGGGACTCACTGCTGGGGTCACCCCTCGCAGGTGAATCCCCKGGGCGGTGGGAAGCGATCTCTGGGTGCCCAATGCCAGGGACCCCCGTGCCACCACTCTCAGGTGTGACCTTGGGTGGTCTTGTCTCCTTCGGTGCTCAGCTGTATCTTTCCAGCAAAGCCTCCACCGACACACATTCCTCCCAGGAAAGGTAATGCTGGCATCTGCTCCCAGGGACCCCCTGCTTTCACCTCTCAGCACAGCCAGCATCAGCCACCGCTGACTGCAGATAGTGCAGCTATCTGGGCCTGCATCAGTGGGTAAGAAGCCCTGACYTGACTCCATCAGCTTCCCACTTCCCCTTGGCCTCAGCTGATCCAATACCTACAGGTGGATTTTGTGGAAGAGTTTAACAATCCCGTGATGAGTCCAGTCTTTACCCAGCTGTGGTAAGATGTGTCCAAGAGCATCTGACCTAACAGGAAAGGAAACCAGGTTAGTGTGATCCAATGTGGTGAGAATCCACCCCACCCCAATGGGGTTTGTGATCCCTTCTCATGCAAGCTGTTAAAGGATACTTTCCCCTAACAGGGGAAAACAAGGATTTTAAGGCAGGAAAAAGGTTTTTTACCTGGTGATGGTGCCATCAATGTCCGATATCACCACTTTTTCATTCCAGTTCCACAGGTAGATTGTGGCCTCACAGCGGCACGTGCCCTGGTACTGAGTTGTCACACTGAATGCCACCTCGTTGGGGCCATCRTGCAGATTCAACCTTCCCTGTGGCAGAGGGGCAGCAAAAGTGTTACACTAGCACCAATCCACACCAGTTCAACACTTGCCAGAGACTGCCACCTAGCCAGGCCAGAGACTGCAGGCCTCTACAGGGTGACAAACCAAGGCAAAATACTTGGATGTCCTATGAAAACATGAGGTCAGGAGTAGAGAAATCCGTGTTTTAAGGATTGTCTCACTCCTACACAYACACAGGCAGTAAAGGTGGAGGAATAAATACAAACAATTTGTTCGGAGGAGAGCCGCAGGGATTTCTTGTAGGTTGGCAGAGGTTTCTGAGCAGAAGCCTCCCCTGGGTGCAGGGACTCGTCAGYGGGTGACTCCTTCTCCTCCCTACACAAAGAAGGGAAGGGGTCAGCCAGAGTCTTAACAAAGCTTTYTACCCTCTTTCATTAGGCAAACTTAGGAAYAACKAGTCAYGTAGGAGAAGAGACCAGGAGTATCCAGACTCCTAAAGATAACCTGGGAGGAAGGCACTCACCTCTGCTGAGCAAGGGCCTCCATTGCTAGCATGTCCCCAGGATGCAGGGACTCCCTGCTGCATGACTCCTTTTTCTCCTCCCTACACAAAGAAGGGACGGGGTCAACCAGTCTCAACAAAGCTTTCTACCCTCTTTCATTAGGCAAACTTAGGAATAACTAGTCACACAGAAGAGACCAGGAACATCCAGACTCCTGGAGGTGACCTGGGAGGGAAGCACTCACCTTTGCTGAGTAAGGCCAGGCTGCAATGTTCCCACGCTGTCTTTCCCTGACCTTGACTGTTGGTGCAGGCAGAGAAGAGTGGGCTGGTTTYGTATGAAGTAGAGTTAATTTTCTTCACAGTGGCTAGTATGGRGCTGTGTTCTGGATTTGGGCTCAACGCAGTGTTGATAASAGAGATGTTTCTGCTRTTGCTGAGCAGTGTTTGCACAGAGCCAAGAGCAAGAGCAGGGGCTGCTTTGCTTTTCTGCCAGTTGGAGCAGCAAAGCCAAAAGAGACATCAGTGCAGCTCCTGCCTTCACAGGGACATTGGTCATGGAAGAGGAAGCACAGCCTGGTGCTGCGGTGGGGCAGGCAGACCAGCAAGCACAGGTGGYGCCTGGGGACCTGGCATGAGTGGCACATGGCAGGAGATCTCACCATCACAAGGTCCACATCACTGCATTACCAGGTGCTGTTTTGCTGCTCAGGCATTAAMAGACCAAAGGGGACAGGTAACAACCTTCAGAAGCCACCTCATCAGATTCTGGATGTCTTCATAGTCAGCCTCAGGCTATCCCTAGGGCCCTACTCCCATCCCTGCCAGTCACCAGAACGATGCCTGTCCACTGGG